TTTCTTACCTACTATAGTAGTATAGAAACACTGGTATAGTGAGAGAGGAAATATCAGTCCCTTATCCGGTACAGAACGCATGTACACTGCAGCCTTGGGACTTGTACTCGAATAAAGGTAGAGGGTATCTTACTCATTAATAACTACTACATCTAGGCTGCAGAAATCTAGATGACCAGAAGATGGCAACAAAGAGAGTTTTCTGCATTATCTGCTAGCATCTAGTGATCATCTGGAGTTTTGAGCCTTACATAGAATTGGGTATAGTATTGCAGCCTGAGAAATTGCTTCTGGAATAAACTTGTAATTTCCTCTTTGGTGGATAAGATTTTTATGTCTAGTCATTCTAAGCGGCCCTAATCTAATCTCACAACTGAGAGTTGCTAAAGTTGCAGCCTTTTATACAACATAACAGTTCTGCAAGCTTATTGCTCCTGAATCTCCAGCTGTTCAGTGTGGAATGACTGCTTGGAATGCATTTTCTGTAGTGATCCTAACCACATGTCCTACTTGAATGATGAATGTAATTGTCTTGCCTTTATTTTGTTTCTTTGTTTTATAGAACATAAAGCCACAGGAAAGCCATTCCTTTTTAACTTTATGAAACAAGCCGTTAAAATATCTCTCTCTCTCTCAAGCTATCTTTAATACTGTAAAACAAACCCAGGCGTAAGTCCACATTCCTAAAACAGTGTGATATAAATTAGATTAAGAGGAGCATGGGTACTCTTTTCCCTGCAGAACAAATGCACGTGCGTCATATACCTTTTCCTGTTTCTTTGTTATTTTTGGTTTCCTGAGGCAAAGACCAGGCAGCAGCTTGGCACAGCTAAAAGTACAGGCATGATCCTGAGTCACAGATTCAGTTTCTCTTGCCCAGACAGTCAAGAAACTTTAATTCCCTCTGCTATACTTAGCACCCATGTTCATGATGGATGACCTACACCTTATAGGCTGTCAGGTTCCTTGAGGATAAAAAATAAAGGGATTGTTTATAATGGTTGATTGCTTTCTGGACAAAGATTCTACTGGGGCTCTCTACTTGCTCATGTTATTTAGATCAATAGTGAGGATCTTGGCATTTCCCCTACCACTAATCCAATTGCAGTGTGTCTGTGACCAATGGTATATGGTTGCTCCCCATGAAATTTTCAGCATGTTGGCCGTGGGAGTGCAATAAGGTTGTTTTTACATTTGGAATAAGTATCTGCTTCTGGCTCTCAGCAATTGTAGGGAATGAGAGAGAGAATTGTGTACTGGTTCCTTGGATGTTTAATAGCAGGAAGCAGTTTACAGCCCAACAGGTTGAAAGGCAGCTGCATGTGCACCCCGAGAGATTTAATACTTCCCTACTGTTGAAGTCACAGAAAATTGATGGCACTTTTTGAACCATCAAAATTAAAAGAGTCATGACCATCTCTTGATCTGAATCCGTCTGAAGATCTTAAGTGTTGTGTGGGTAGGAGGCAGGTCTTCTGGTTATTAAGGCCAGCACTGAACCAACTGGACCCTTTTGTAATAAACATATTGGAAAATATATTGTTTCCCAAGTTCAAGTGGGATTTTTCTTGCTTTCGGCAACAAAAGTTTTGTTGTTGTATAAAATCATTGTTCAGCCAGATGCTTCCATTCATACTCTTGATCAAATGAAACAGATTGACTGGATTACGAGAGTAATGAGCTAGATGCAAAAGAACACCTTCTGGCAGGTCCTTCATGGATTTTAGCACATCTGGAAACCAGGAAATATGAAGCTGCTGACAAGAACAGCATTTCACATGTAAATTTGAGATATGCTTAGCCAAAGAGTAGAGAACGAGTAGCCAAAACTCTTAAGTTTGGAATGTCATTATCTCAAGAGGATATTAAGAAGTCCTCCTTCATTCAGATAACTGAACTGTTTCTCTGGCCTCAAGATCCCCTTTTCTTTTAAGCCAGACTGTTAACACTTTCTTTCTTGTCAGCAAGCATCAAGTCAAAAATAGTCTTCTCTTGTGTTGCCTAGGAAATTATCACCCACTAAAGAGCTAAAAATGTCTTCTGAGCACTTAACAAGAAAGAAACTATAGAACTGTCCTCTAATAATTCTCCTCCATATATCTCTGAATTCTGTAGACTAGTAGACGTTTACATTCTATCTGCCATGCACAATTTGGATTCCTCATTGTATTTCATGTAATAGAAATCATAACCAAAGAAAGAGAAATCAGATAGGTGCTACCTTAAATCTTACTGTAGAAGATGTCTAGAATTTAACAAACATAGCACTAGATAGATAAGCGGCTGCAGTTATACTAATACAAGTGGCATTCCAGTGCAGCATAAAACTATAGATAACAAAATTGTGACTAATGAGATTTTGCATCTGGGAATTGGGAGATTAAGCCCTCCTGTAGCTGTTGTCTGCAAGGTATCGTCTTCTTTATGCTCACAATGGGTGAAGTTCCACGTGACTTTGTTGTAGCAACTGGCCTTCAGAACAACTGGCTCATGCTGGCTTCGCTGCTCCACACGACTTTTTCATGATCATGGTGAAGGGGGCTGTTGATCACTCCATTGGATCAATTCTGCTTGGGTAGAATCTCATGACTAGTGTGCCCCAGCACAATCTGCCATGACCGAGTGAGAAGGAGGAGCAAATATAGGCACAGATAACCTAGCCTTAACCCTTAAAAATAAATGAATAAATTTGTATATGAAATTTTGTACAGAAAGTAACAAAAAACAAGTCCCAAACTATGAATATGCAAAACATTTATGCATGTACCAAAGTCTGGATATGCAAAACTAGGAATAACGAGACTAGGGATAACAGGGGCTGGCTTTATTGAATTTAGATTCTACTCTTCGAAAGTAAAGGTGCTCTTGAGTCAAATTTGGTTCCTGGTGACTTCATAGACATGTCCACATCATTTTTCTTAGCACCCATATGGAAGTGGTCTGGTCTTATCCTCTTCCAGGATATGGTGACGGTGGCTTTTTATTTCTCAGTTCTGTCCTACAGCTCCGGTATTCTCTTTTGGTCCCTCATCCAAGTACTAACTAGTCTGAACCAAGACAAGATTAGCCAGGTACAGCCACTTGTCTTGAGCATTTAAATTGCACTGATTGCATGTATTCCAGAGGTGGATGTTATCTATCAATATTATACCTTCCTCTGTTCCTGCAGAGGTAATATTCTAATTAAATTCTGTGAGAATATATGTAGTATCTGATGGGCCACAAGGACTGTAGATCTGGGATATGAAATCAGTGTACTTGAAGAAACAAGTTGGTGAATCTACTAAAAAAATTGCTAGCGGCACTTACTCATGTGTGACAAGTTACACGAAGAGCCTTTGAGACAGGCTTTGCATTTTTGCTTTAAAAATATTAAAATGTGTTTAATTTATGCTTGTGCTATATGGCTTCTGCAGTAAACATCAGTTCCAAGCCTGTGCATACTTACCAAGATGAAAAGCTAATGATATATATGAGACTGGCTTCTAAGTTAACATGGGTCTATTACAGGCCTGTGGTGCAAGTCCCCACATTTTTGATGCACGTGGCCCTCCATCACATATTCAAGGGAATGTCCCTGAAAGTAACATTTCTGGGTTATTCCCAGTTATACAGTTTATATAATATGTGGAGATAAACTTTTTTTTCTCTGCCCTATTATCAAAAATAAAAAGTTATGATTTGCCCATATTTGCATACTTAGAAACAACGTGATTTTAAATAAAGAAACCCAGGGGGGCGGGGTGCAGTTGTGGATAATCATATTTCATTGATCTAATGTGTAAATTACTAGCCACTCTAAAACTCAAAACAAAACAGGACTTTGCCTATGTACTGGTTCCTATTTGAAAGAATAAAGGAATAGATGGGAAAGGCAGGAATGGGGAAGGGGGAAAAAAACAATGAAATGCAAAAAGAGGGGATTTTGAACTAAAAATTCAAAGAGAGCTAGCAGATGAGAGAGAATAGGAAAGAGAGAGATTTCTGAGTAAGAAGAGAAACCAAAACCAAAGAACTGAAGCTGAGTAAGTGTTAAGGAACTAGGAGTCCTAACCAGAAGATCAGTTTAAGCGAAGCTTAAAGTAAGGATGGGATTGTTATTGGTGGAGGTGTTGTCAAAGACCTCAGTCCCTCAGGACCAATGTTTTACAGAGCCTTCTGCTGGGAGTGGCACCACAGTTAGAACTGGAGAGGGTCAGGTCTTCCAGAAAGCTTTTGAAATTAGACTCAAGGGCTAAAGAACAAGAAGGCGCTTGAAGAAGCAGAGGCAGGGAGGGAGAAAAGAGAATCCTGGGCCTTAAGTAAGACAGCATCTACAAAGACCATGGACTGGCCGGCAAAGTGGAAAAAAATAAAATACGGAGGAAACGTTTAGCCCAAGGAGGGGAAGGGGCCAAGATTGGCAGCAGAACTGAGGATTGAAAGGAAAAGGAAAAAAAATGAAAAGCAGCAAGGCCAGTACAATTAGTAGCATCGGGTATAAACAAGTACATTTAAAATATTAACTGAGCTTTATGGAAAGCAGGGCATTGGAAGGAAGGGTGTGGGGTTCTATTTTCAGTCTTCCAGTCAGTCTTGACTCCTAGTGACTGCATAGACAAGTCCGGGTAGTTATCTAGGCAGCCTTTTTGGAGATGGTTTGCTATTGCCTTTTTCTTACGGCTGAAAGAGAGTGAGTGGTCGATCACCCAGTTAGATCTTCTCTGCCTAAGACTGAGCTAGAAGCCAGGTTAACCTTCTCAGATTCCAGTACCTTAACCACTAGATCAAACTGGTAGTATGAAAAAGTACAATGCTTCATGGTATAAGTCTGGAGACATCTTTGCCGGAAGCAGTTTGTATTGGAGATGGACTGATTGAGGTTTTTTTTTACAAACAATTATCAAGATTCTTAAAACGCTTCATAAATGGAATTGCAGAGATGTTTAGTTCTATCATAAGATACTGCTTTACTAAAAACTATGTGACATTTTGTGAAGAATTTGTTTTCTCCTTTGCAGATCAAGTCACGGCAATCTCTTCTTTGTTTCTCTACTGGATTACAGATATCCTTCCTGGAAAGAACAGGAAATGAGTTGAATGAGAATATCCATCTGTACAGAGTTAAGAACTAATATCTAAAACTCTGAATTGAATCTGAGAATATTCAGGAAAAAAATGTCCTTGAACAGAATACAGGTTCACTGAGACACTATTGATATTTTCTTTTGCTTATTTTTTATTTTGCTACTGGCTGTATCTGCAAGGGTCTTTCATTTTTAGTAAACCTATATGCACCCCGGGATGTTCGGACAATGGCATCAGTGAATTCCATCTCACTTTGTCTTTCTTCCAAGAGATTTGGAGTTGCCACATTACAAGCCAGCAAGCTCCAGCACTGATTTAAGATGTTGGCTACGACATAGATTGCAACAGCTGTGGCTTGGAATAGAGAAATCCAGTGTTCTTTTTTAAGCCTAACTTACTTTGAACAAAGCTCAGAAACTCTTTTGATTGATTGTTCCATCTGCAAGCTGGGAAACTTTGTAGGTCAATTTATAAGCAGTGGGGAGAAACACTTTCTGTGTGCAAAGATAGGAGAACTTGGGAAGATTGGTCTTCCCCATCGTAACCCTATTTTTAAATATTCACTATAGCAGCAGAATAAAAGGTGAATCCTTTTCCTAAATTCTTTATTTGAGTTGACTTGACATGGGATGATAAAATGGATAGACTTCATTTTGAGTTATAGCACAGTCAGTTTCTGGCAAACTAATTTTTTTATGTCATTGTAAATATTTGGGGTATCTGTGATGAGCTCATCCATTAGTTCCTCTTAGAATTACAATCTTCACTGGACGTCTCTAATTGTTGGCAGAGGTGTTTATAATGGCTTTGAAGAGAGAAATCTAGTAGGCACAGCTTTTCTAGTACCTGCACAATAGCAGCTTCACCTGCCAAAATGTGCTTTCTATATCAGTTTTAAAGATACTAGAGAGAACAGTATCCCTATCAAAATAAATTATGCAGAGAAACTATGCAGAATAAATATCATTTCTTAAACTCGATTTGTAAGCATATACTTCAAAGCCAGCTTCCTTGTGCTTCTCTGTTTCTGAACTCTGTACAGAAGAAAATCTGCTCCTGAGTATGAGTTTATTAATCTCTGATTAAAATACAGTGACAACATGAGTATTCTTAACATTTAATAAATCCCATACTAGCATGCCTTCCTTCTGTTTGGCCTGTCTGTGCAGCACAGGAATGGAGAATGCTGCAGTTCTCCCAATGCTGCTAAGTCTCAGATCCCATCACCCTAAGAAGCATAGCTAATGCTTATTTCAGTAGCTTTTGAAGGGCCACAGGATCTCTGTCCTTGACATTGCATATCTGACTCTATACTCTTTAATTCCACCATCCCCAGAAATGCCCACCGCTCTCCTTAATACTTTAAACCCAGTTGCTTCTGTAAGCCGTGTGACTTTATTATGCATTCACATTAAGCCTGCAGGATGTATGTTATTGTCCCTCCTCTTCTGCATCTTCAATATAAGCTGGCTCGCTATGATCAGCTCCTCTGTTTCTTGTTTTTAAAAGAGTGAAATTCATTCTTTGATTCTCCTTTGGTAATAGATAATGGGATCGTGTGTGGCATCCCCATAGGAGAGCTCCGCTGAGGTTCCCATATCAGCCTGCCCCAGACTCAGAATCCTTCATTGTTGTAAATTCTAGGAACTGAAATCTGGAGTGCTGGAAGGTTGCCCTCCAGGACACTGCCTTCACGTATGTTTTCATATAATCTGAGATGCAGAAATTAGCTGTATTATACAGTACATCTCTCCTGTATGCAAAACTCATATATTGAATGCCATCCTTTATATAACCAAAACAGAGGGGAGCTCTATGCAGACCTGGAACAATATCAATGTTTGCAGAAATACCACAATTACCCCCCCCCCC